TTAAAAACAAAAACAACAAAAATAAAACACATGCCAAACAATCCAATTGATACAAAGAAAGATGAAATTAAATAACTATAATCTTCATAAATGAAGAATTTAAATAATAGAGATGGTGAGGTGTGTTAGACATTGTCGTAAAATTGATATCGAGTATGAATGACGGTTTATATGGACTCTATGATACAACCCAATTACTTGCAGTGGTGTCCTAAAGAGCACATTCCCCAGAACAATAGTCTAGTGCCAAATCATTTTCTCGTTACCCATAAAGCAGATAACCTCATATATACATGTATGTATGTAAATATATAAACACATATAGATATAGGAGAAATATAACATGACTGAGAAAAAGAAGAGCAATTAGTGTGTGTGTGTGTGTGTGAAAAAAAATTTAAAAGTAGAAACCCAACAAAAAATATGGTGGAAAAGCATCATTTTATAGGTTGCGCCTTTCTTCCATGCTGACTGATAGATACTGTATATAGTTACGCCTATCTAAGATGTTAGTTACCTATCTAAGAAAGCAGATAACCTTTTTTTATTATTATTATTATTTTTTTTGGAGTACAGAAAAGAGAACACATAAAAAAACAGACTGTTAGTTGGATCTAATAAACAAGATACTGTTAGTTGGATCTAATCTTCAGAAGGAAGAGATCGAGTGGTTGCCAACGGAATGGTTATCAAGCCAAAAGCTTCTAATTTTTTTGTTTTTATTTTTATTTTTTGTTTTTATTTATTTATTTATTTATTTTTTACTTTAGTTGATATCAAACTTGGTTTGATTGATTAAGTTATTTATGCTCATATGTATTTATTAGAACATTCTCATAGTCCTTATTACTATCAGCAGAACTTGTTTTAGTTTTCCTTCCTATCTTTTTTCTCATATATATATATATATATATGGGCTTCGCTAACCGCAAGGCGACTGTGGATTTACAGTGGCTTGTCCTATTAGTATAGGAATTAAATTCCATTTATGATTTGTCCAGGAATTAGTTACCATTTATAACTTGTCTAGGTGTAAAAACCTATTCACTGTAACTTCTTTTACTTTATCTTACTGGCTTTGTTTATTTTTGGGTTATATATTTTACTGTTAAATAAAATCTATACCATTTAAACTTATACTTCACTTTAAATAAATATAAAAAAATTCACATTTAAGGAAAAAAAATAAAGTAAATAATCAAATTTGTTGTATTGGTAGTAAAATATATGATCCAAAAATAAACAAACGCGTAGCCGATAAATTACGTGAAATAAAAGAAGTCACAGTGGTAATAGGTTTCTACACCTAGACAAGTTATAAATGGTAATTAATTTCTAGACAAATAATAAATGGAATCTAATTCCTGTACTAGGACAAGCGACTATAAATTCATAGTCGCGCAAGACGATTGTGATTAGCAAAGCCCGAGAGAGAGAGATTTGTCCAAAATGGGATTTGAACTCTTATCTTCCTCACTTGAGATAAGGATAAGAATGTACTTTCATGTCTTTTTTCTTGGAGTCATGAACTCAACAATTTAAATAGTGATTTTAACAATTCTAAATAAATAATAAAATAATTACATAAAAGCGTTAAATTTTTTATTTAGTAGTATATCTGTATAAATATTACTACTTTGTAAAAGTTATTCTCAGAGTCTCAAAATTTTAAGAATTCTATCTTTTCTTTTTGGACGATCCAAGTACTTGTGCACTCAAAAATTATAAACAAAATATTTTACATATTTCTATAAAAATTCTTTAAAAAATTTTAAAAATTAAACAAGGAAATATTACATTTTATAGCACAGAACCCTATGACGAGAGGATCTAGGTGCACATGGATAGTTGATCATGCGGAGTGTGGGTTTCAATTTCCTAAACAGATATAACTGTTCTGAATGATATAATTAATGCATGGTGTCTTTCGATGGACTTGAAAAGCAATTCAAATTATCCGACTTTAATCGGGCATTTGATTGGTATGGACTTGAAAACCACGAAAAATTATTATATAAGTTGAATTAATAGATAAGTTGAATCGATAATTTAAGAATTGAGAAAATAATTTTATAAAAAGAAAAAGAGAAATATTTTTTTTGATGACAGATATATACCTAACAACAAATCGACTTTCACGTGACAACAAACTATTTGCGCACATACCATCAAAAAAATAATAATAATAATAATAATCTATTTACGCACAACACTTTCCTCTCTTACCCTGCACATAGCCTCTCTCACTCCTCCGCAAAACCTTCCAATCTCTTTGAGAGGATGAAACACAGTTCCGACGCCCCACCACCACCACAATTTTCACTTCTTGTCTAGTGAAGCCCGGCCACCACCACAATTTTCACTTCTTGTCACCACAACCAGTGACTAAAACACCACCACCATAACTGGCAGTCACCGCATCACCACCACTACCGGCGGGGGTTGCCAACCCACCACCACCACCCTAACCCCCACAACCACCACTACCACCAGCATGGTGGTAGAATGATGAAGTGATGACCGTGGAAGATTCAACGAGGCCGGCAGTGAGCAAGGTTATGCTCGGAGAACGTCGACAATAAAGGATGGCTGCGAGATGGTCATGGCGACGACAGAGTTGACTGGTGGTCGACGACAAGGACTGATGATGGCAGAGAACAGAACACCGGCGAAATGATCGGAAGTTGCAGGTTGTCGATACAATCTGATACAGAGAGTGTTTGGTGCGTGTAGACACGTGGTGGGCGATTCCGGCAATGGGCAAGGAAGGAAGAATACACTGCGAACAAGGATCGGCGTTGCGTACGGGATGGCCGTGAGTGACTGCAACCTATGAGCTCGGTGAGGATGGCGTCGAAGGGTGATTAGTATCACCAGGACGGGTCTGTGATATCGTCGGATCAGTAATCGGATTCCGACCAGAGACCAAACTTGCTAGGAATCCGTGGCCGACGTCTCAACTCCGTCAATCTCTTCACTCCCGACAAATCTCCGTCACCGATTGCTCTGCTTGATGGTGATTCCATGGTGCTGATGCTGGCAGCAGGAAAGAGAGAGGAGATAGATGACAGAGGAGTGAGAGAAACAGAAAAGTGGAAAAGAGCAGTGCAGCAATTGTGCAGCTGACACGCGTTGTCGGTTTTGGCGGGGAAAAGCAAGTCGGGCAGAGTAGCACCGCTCAAAGAAAAATTATTAGATGAACTTGATAAACTAATATAATAAAATTTAATATTAAGTTGGTTCACATATTAGTACATTATTGTAGAACAATTTTTTAAAATCGAATCTTGATTTAACTAGTTCTTTAATTGTTAATGGAATATGATCATCTAATAATTTTTTAAGAGTGTATTAAATTAGTTCACCAAGTGTCAAATGAACCAAAACAACGAACAATTCATGTGAGGGCAAATGGGGCACTTGCCCCATTGAAATTTTATTATATATTTTTTTATATTTTCCTAAAAAAATCTTAAGTAGTGCCCCCATATTTTGATCCTTTGCCCTCACTGATTTTTTTCTTCTCTCCCTCAGCCTTCAGCCCTCATTATTGTTTAAAATCGTCCCCATTGAAATAAATATCTGGATCCATCACTGACCGAACCATCTAATAATTTCTTGAAAAGTAGTTTAAATTATCCAACTTAAATTGTGGCATTTTAATAACACAATATTTTAAATCAGGAGATATTAAATTCTGGATTTAACAGCGTTATAATATTCTAATATAATACTTTCTCTGTTTTAAAGTGGACAGCTATTTTGAAACGATAGAGTATAATATATATGAATTTTACACACACCCATATATTATTGTATGAATATTGCATAATTTCGAATGGGGCATGCTCCCTTGAGTAGAGATGACAACGGGAGCGGATCTGGGCGAGTGTACCCTACCTCGCCCGCATAACCGTTTAAAAAATCCGCCCCCGTCCTCGCCCAAAATCGCAAAAACGGTGGAAACTTTCTACCTTATTTCCGTAACCGTTTAACATTTTTACCTTCGTTGGTACCCGCACAACCCCATTTAAGACCATAATTTATTTGTTATTGAAATAGATTTGTTCTTTTTTTCCTCCCACCTTCAGTTTTTCACCATTATAACTTTTCTTCTAATCAAATTAATTAATAAGTAATTTGCCTATCTAAATGAGACGGGACGGAACTGGGCGGGGTGGGGGGCCCTCCCCCGTCCCTGCACCAAATTCATGCGGGATATTATCACATCAAACCATTTTCGCCCAAATAAAATAAACGATTGTCTAAAATTGTCAAAAATAAAATGGGACGGATTAAATTGTCATCCCGATTTGGGAGGATCTCTCTTTGGATTGCTGAGAGGATCCATGTGTGCACATGGATAGTGGGTTTCAAGTTTATGAACAGCATAACTGCTCCATCCTCATTCAGAATGATATTGATAGTTAAATGCATGGTGTCTTTCGATGGGCTTGACAAGCAGTTGAAATTATCCAATACCCGAGAACGGTGGTTGACCAGTCGGTGGTGAGAAAAGTCCCCACAATTTCCAATAACACCAGTCACGAAACTCCACGTGGCAAACACCCATTTGCCCAAATTGTAGGCTACCCTCAAATCCAGAACCGTTGTCTGGTTAATTTATAGAAACATTGTCTGGTTAATTAAAGTTAAATGGTCTAATTTTTTGCCTGCTTTTAAAATAATGTAATGTAATGATTATTTTCATAAAAAAATTAATAAATAAATAAAAAGAAAAGAAAAAAAGAAAGAAAGAGAAAATTAAAAAAGGGGTCAAATTTCCTTCCTCTAATATGTGGAATAGTGATTTATGAGCATACTGAAAAGGGATGAGTACTTGCTTAACCAGAATTGGAAACGTAGATTTATGAACTTGAGCAATAAGACTAAAAAAACGAGAACAACATGCATGACAATCATGAGAATTTAGTAGGAGAGAAAACCGGTTTATAATTCTTTTTTTTTTTTTGTAAAAGTGGTCCTGAATCAACTATCAAGTATCCAAAGCCACACTGGTCTCCCAAGCACTAGGTCAAGGGTTTGAGATTGGTAGAAAGAAGGAAGGAAAATTAAAAGGTAAAATTTAAGCCAATGTTTAAAACCATGATAGAATCAGATCTGCACAAATATATATCTTCTTTGCAGCTGATTCAACTTATTCACTCGAATATCAGATCAAATGCAAAAGAATCTTTCAAAAGCATACAAATTACCAAAACTAAAATGATTAAAAAACGTATTGGGACGAGTGGAATCCATTTGGTATTTAAAATGCAGAGGAAATTGGATGGCTAACTCATTCGATTCCATTAAAGTCTCTAGCATTTCTCTTTTTAACAATGACGATCAACCGTCTTTGGAAGATTTTTTTCCATCAAACATGGCAGCTGAATTCTGTGGTTTTTGAAGTCCCATTCTGTGGCAATGCAATTAATAAAGAAAATGAGTTTTTATATAACGAGAATGTTAAAAAAAAAAAGGCCAGTGAAAGAAATTGTAGAAAAACTCACCAAGATCAGTACGGACAAGTTGAAGTGATTGACGAAATCAATATATACTGTTGTTTTCGTCTTGGACTCGGTGAATTGAGGATTTGATTCTCAAGTTTCTGGTTCAAAGAAGAGCGGACTCGGTGAGAATGTGAGAGGAAACATAAAATTATTTTCTTTTTAAAACTTGTACTTGTTGGGAAACGTGCAAGTTTTAAAAACTTTCCAAGAAATTTTGATTCATAGATCTTGATTCATCACATAGAGACAAGTTTTATGCAAAAATAAAAATATAATGTATCATTCAATTAATGGATTGAATACTTACATCAAAGGTGAGTGTTCTCACTTATTGCAGATCCCTTAGCAAGATACCTTCTCCTTGGATCTCCATCTTCTTAGTAATTGTTTTGTCTTTAAGAATCAATCATAAACCTCCATGAATGACTTTGAAAAATTAGGCTTGTGGGAGCCTCCATTAGATGAGAACATAAACCCTAATTTTCTAGAGAGAGAAAATAAATTCCTTTTTCCTTCTTCTAAAAATCACCCCTAAAATATACATAGACCATGTATATTTATTGGCAACATAAAGGTAAAGAAAAGGAAACAACGAATCCTTCTCAATCTCTAATTTACATGTCTCAAATCTAATATAATTCCAATATCAAGTTGGGCTATGAGTGAGAATCCATTAGGCCTATTATTTTATTGGTTACAATGAATTAATAATTGGCCCGGTCCACGGACCAAATTCAATTAATTCATAAATTAATTTCTACTCCACTAAAAGAAATTAATTGAACTCCAATTAAATAATAAATAACCTCTAAGTCAATATTACATTTCGACCCCTCTATGCATAATTAGTTATCGGATAAATAAAGTCATCAATCCGACTACTTAATTAATATATTTATTTTGATACCTTTGATTATTTCTGGTTCAATTACAATTAAACATTTGTTTGACAAAAATAATAATTTAAATATATAATAAATCATTTTGTCTAAAAACACACAAAGGCATTCGAATTTACTTTGTGATCAACCATAATCAATACAAAAATAAATACAAGTAGCAATGATGCAAATATTGAAAATATAACCCTCTAATTATTAATTACATAACTACCCAAAGTGTCGGTCTAAGGATCCCGAAAAATCCGCCGAACAAATCAAAGTAATTATTAATTAATAAAAGAGTCTATAATTTTCTCATGCTTAAGAGTCAAATGCCATGACGGTGATAGGGAGCAATTGCATACGACGGCTCTCGCAATATATCTCAACTTAATGCGGATCCAGTTCAAATCTTAATTAATTATGAGTCCATCCATAATTACCGACTATGAACCATTTATGATTATATTTATATATCATGCATTGATTGCCATTGCATACATATATATAAATATCTCTTATAATCAAATGGACACTATCAATTCTATAATGAATCGAAATATAATACATTGAATTCACCAATTGTATAAAATATAAATATTTCAGAAACGTCAGGAACATATGTTACCTTAATCCAAACAGGAATTTGCTATGCCAGGGCATATAAATCCCAACAGCTCCCACTTGCTCTCATAGCCAATTCAAATTGCACCTAACTCCAATGTTATCCAGATGATGATCAAAATTATTGATCAATGACACCTTTGATAATGGATCAACAAAGTTATGTTCCAATGCAATGTTCTAGTTACAAGTACATTTTCTTGCCGGACAATATCATGTAGAATATGATACTTCCTCTCAGTGTATCTTGTTCCTCTATAGAACCTTGGGTCATTGGTTTGTACTACTTTTGCACTATTGTCACAACATAGCTCAATAGGCAAGCTAGTATACTCCACAACCTCCAAATCAGTGAGATCAAGCCAATAGGCTTCATTTGCCGCCTTTAAGGCTGCAATATATTCCACCTGCAGGTTTGAGTCAGCAGTTGAAAACTGCTTAACAATCTACTAACTGATTTCCCTTCCATTAAGTGAACATACACTAAGTCATGAACCTCATAGTATCTACTTCTGATTGAAAATCAGAACTAGCATACCTGACTAGGACCATATCATCACATCCATAAATGAGTATGATATCATTGGTTCTCCTTAGGTACTTAATGATATTTTTCACAACAGACCAGTTATCAAGTTCAGGATTAGACTAATATTATCTGACTATCCCTACAATGTAGCGGATGTCCTGTTCGGTATAGACCACGGCATATATGAGACTCTCATATGCCAAAGTATATAGTTCTAGTCTCATTTACTCAATCTCCTCTGCCAGTCTTGGAAAACTACTTACTAGAGAGAGCAATCCATATCAATAAAGCAAGAACTCATTTTTTGAGTTATGCATACCAAACTTGATAAAAACTTTTCCAATATAGGATTATTAAGATAAACCTATTTTCCTTTTAACCTGATCTTGCAAAAGCTTGATCCTAGGAATAAGCTTACATCTTGAAAATCCTTCATTTAAAAGTAATTGAACAACTACCTCTTTATCGATGACAAAACTTCCACATCATTCTAAATGAGTAGGATGTCATATATATATATATATATATATAATCAGAAAAATAATGACATTCCCTTGTACACTCATGATTTATTCACTAAAAAAATCTTCTGGTATCTTTTTGTAGATTAAATTGCCTTCCATAGAAATCACCCTACTAGAAAGTTCTACAAGATCCCAGAATTTATTAGAATACATAGATTCCAACTCTGATTTCATAGTAACTCGCCAAAACGATCTATATCCATATCGGTTCACGCTTCCGTGTAGCTTACTGGGTCTAACTCATGTGTAACAGGGATGTCCATAATGGTCTCACCTAAAAACATAATTCTGTCGGATTGGATGATAATCCTCCCACTACATTAATGTACCGATGCAGGAATCTGTGTACTAGATGATGCTGACGCATCAATAGGGAATTCATTTATTATTCTCAATCTCTATTATAAGTGTGTTCACATGTGGTATATCTGGTACTCATACCATATTCTCTAACATTATGCTACTAGGTATGTAATTCATAATATGATCCTCCTATAGATAAACAGTGAGTGTAAACAATCAACTTTTATCATTGAAATCATAAAATAATCCATCCTAGTGACTTTTAGAGTAGCTATCAAGTCTATCATGCGTATGATCTGTTTCCAACTTACTTGTCCATATCAAGCGCACATGTGCAAGACTACCCCATATGTGCATGTGATTCAAACTAAGATTTAGTAAAAAACACAGCTCAACGGTATCCTTGAGACATACTAAGATGGAATGCAGTTCATAATGCGCATCGATGTCATAAACGCTAAACTCTTAAATGAAAGAGATAATGTGGCATAACTGATCATAAATCTAACCATGTTATGCGGAATTCTGTTATTCCTATTTGACACCTAAATGCATTTAGCGTCAATTGCGAAAAACTGGTACACAACACCCTCATTGACCATATAGTCTTTGCACTATCCCAAGAAATACTCATATCCTCGATCAGATTGAAATGTCTTGATAAGTTTACCTAATCTGTGCTCCACATCAGTCTTGACCCTCTCAGAATATACCAAAAGTATAAGACTTGTGTCGCAACAGGTAAATTTATCCAAAACGTGAGTAATCTTGCTTGGATGTTCACAAGACCACACGTGTCTGTGTGTACCGACTCCAATTGTTCTCTATGTCTATTTCATTTGGCTGATTAAGCCCTTAGAGTTATCTATCCTTCAAAACAGGATTCATAAGTTTGGTTTAGGCTCCTCAGTCTCACTAGGTAATAAACTTTCTTTGACCAATCTTTGAATCTCATTTTGATTGATTACAACCCAAAAATTGACACCAAAAAATACAATGAGTCAGGAATGACAAATTTTCTCTTAACATTCAATTTAGAAATGCAACATTAGTTTCTACATCCTGCAAATCTTAAGAGTTTGTGATTATAGTATATTAACCATTTTTCAATGCACCAGAAGCAATCGCATATCTATTCAATTTTATAAAACCAATTTTACAAAATAACAATACAGTTTTTTATAAACCACAAGTGAAACAAGAATAAGATAGCGTCTAACTTCTGTGCATAAAGATAGTTCTCTAATACTAATATCCTCATACTCTCTAATTTCAGATGTAAAACTCTCACTGACTTAGCTACAACCTTGACATCAGGTCAGGTACAAATATATTCCATATCATCGAGGCTTCTAGATTCCTGAAATCCTTGCAACGAATTGCAAAAATATTTAGTGGCTCCAAAATCTATCCATCAGGAATTAATAGATACAACCACATAGCATGGCTTAATGATTAAATATATATTTTCCTATGCCACGTCATTGCTTAGACAGTTCGTCCTTTAGTGTCTTTGTTAGCAGCAAAAGAAACAATTTAATTTACCCTCAACATACACTGCCTTATTCCCTTTAACCTTTTGGATATCCATGTTTTGTGCTAGCCTAGTCCTATTATCATCCTTCTTCTTTACTTTGCCCTTCCACTTGGGCCTAGAAGAAGATGGTATAAACTAGGTTAGATTGATAGGAATACTTATACTATTTGATTATCCTTTCATTTGTTATCAATTCTATAAGAATATCAGCGAGTATGAACTCAAACTGATTCCTTATTTAGTTCACTCTAAAAGAGTCGAACGAGTTTGGTAACAAGGCAATAATCATGTCAACTTGAAACTTACCACCCAAGTCAGCTCTATTGATCTCCAGCTAATTTTTAAATAATAAACAATCATTTTCCAAAATTCGATTTCATACTGGAGTTCCTTAGGCTATCTTGATGGTGTTCAAGTCTGACATAGTACGTAGGCATATGCCCTATCTAATCTCACCAAAACATCATATTGACATTTAACATGATGCTTGAAGAAAATAAAATAATGTAAATGTTAGCTTTGGAGCGTATTCGAGGTAAACTCTAGAATATTGCACCAAGTCATCTCATTTGCCTTATTTCACTTATTCAAAGCATTAATGTTCTCTTGGGTATCTTAAAGTAAAAGGATTAGGTTTAGGAGTAGTAAATACGTTTGTACCCTTACGTTGTGAATAAAATATCTAAATTCCTTTCCCTGTCAATATTAATGAGGTCCAGTTACATTGAATATGTAAGCAAGCGGATAAACTGGATCAGACATAATTAAATTGAATATAAATGCGTTCATACAATATGCAAGGTGAATTATTAATACTGCATGCATATTTAAAATTAAAATGAGTTTGTTTACCACATAATATAATAAATCTCAATCGAACAAGAGATCATTGTCATTATTGGTGAACAATCTCTTTTAATTAATGCGAGTCCCTCAACTCTGTAGCATAATAAATCAACCAATCAATATATCAATAACTTATCCTATTGGAGGAGTTCATTATTACTATTGTAGAGATTCATTTGCTATTAGGTGAGCACTTCCATTAAAATAATAATATGTGGGTCCCTTAACCACTGCATGAAAAATCGGATAACCAATACGCCAATAACTTATTCGGTTGGCGAAGTTCATTATTACTATTGGCGGACAAATCCCATCATCTCCATATCTCTTAAGACAACGCCTTGTCTATCTATATGAAATGATTCCCGATTATGTTTAGCCTTTCTAAAATCACCTAATATAGACCACTCCGTTGGGGAGCTAACACTATTGATTTTAGATTGAGTGTATAACGTTATTAAAACTCTAATGAAAAATAAAACATTAAATAAAAACTTAGATAACTTGTGTTTAAGGCATTGCACACAACAATTGAGAATGAAACTATTTAAAACAGAACACAATTTTTTCATACAGCACTAGAATAAAAACAATCAGATTGTAAGAACTGGCTACTGTAGGTAATATGATCCTTCAACGCTTACCGAAACCTATGTTAACAGATGGGATTGCATATTTGCACTCAACCTATGTTAACCGTATAATGATATTGGAGTCAAAATACAATTAAGAAACATTAGAAAATCTTTGTTCCACTTGCTAGAATTGGGAAAACATAGCAAATATAATTGTGATCATATAGCAAATATAAGCCAGGTGATCACATTAGCAAATATAATTGTGATCATATAGCAAATTTAAGTCGGCTTTTAACAAAGGTGGAACGGCTTTTATAAACACACACATGCATTTACAAACCATTTAAATGTGCAAATACAAACCACAAAGAAGAAGACATCAATGACAGAGAGTGTTATGAGAAATAAATTGATCTTTCTAAAGGGATTTGTGTGTCTATGCATATATGCACCGCGCATAGAATATTTTAAATAAGGATAACCAGGGCATGGCATAATAATCCAATTTCAAATATTTTGAATGTTAAGAATTTGTGTCATTGTCCCCTTGTACATTATGCCACCCAATTTTAAAGTTTTCCTCTCTCTATATATATAGACACACACAGATATATATAAATACTCCATTTATAATGTCAAGGGTTAAGTAAAGTGCGAGTTTAGAAGTTTGGACAAATAATCTTCCCCCTTTAAAATTCATCATTTCAGACTAACATTTTGTATTACTTCAGTGAATATTGTGGTCTGTGCATATATTTTCTTTTGCACACCACTTTGAAGTTTGAACATGTGCCCTGAAAAGGAACTTTAAATCTAATCGAATGGCCAGAATTTTCTCCACATAAGCCTACAGTAGATACACAATCTGAGCAATAATGCTCCAATACTTGAGACCCATCAGGACCAAATATTGATATTCAGTCTTCCACTTAATCACAAGGCTTATGTATACTCTTTTTGATTCTGGGCTGTCCATTGACTCCATGGATCCAATGGTTATTTTATGATTATGTAATGTCTATGGATAACCCCTTTCATTCATTCACAATTGACAGTGTAACGCACCCATTGGCTTTCATTGTCTAAATAATTATCTGCAAGATATCTTGTCTTGGCCGGAAAGATTATGTTGGGGGCTTAAGCTTTTAGAATTTACACACACTTGTTAATTATAAGTTCCCCTGTTCTTCAAAGCCAATCCAATGGAGATGAATGTTGCAATGGTGTTCTATAGTAACCGCTATTACCAGTGTTAGTCAAGAAGATAGGGACATTTCTAACCTTTGGCTATTCAAAAATTGTGACTAGGAAAAAAAGATTATATGGGCTTTAGAGATATATGTTAATAAAGAACCCTCACTGCAATGCTTAAAGATCTATGTTCGTTCCCAAACAATTGCTACAAATAAATATGCCCCAAATCTAATATGGGTGTATATATTTATAGAGAGATAGTCTGATAGAGAATACCTGCGAGTGAGGCTGAGAAACAAACTCCTGGGCGATTCTCATTGATTCCATGTCCTCGAGATGGAGACAGAAGCTGACAGACACATCATAATCGATTAGGAGCCATTTCAGGGACTCGAAGTACTCTCCTCTGTTCTTCAGAATGTCACCAATCACGTTCGCCCACCTTGCTTCTTCCTGCCGGTTGCCCACCTCCACGGCGTTCCGGTAAACGTACTTCGCGGCCTTTAGCTGAGCATTGTCTTTCGCCATTTTTGGCTGTGAAGAAGATGGATCAGATCTAGGGTTTTGGTCTGGGAATTGGGAGGGTTTTTAGGGTCTCTTTTCTGTTTTTCTGGCGGTTTTGTATTTGTGGTTTGTTTAAAACACCTGCTGAAATACTTACCCAAAAATACCTAATGAAATTCCGCCAAATGCTTTATGGGCTTCCATTTGGACTTTCTTTGGGGGAAGCGATTTAATATTTTTAGTTTTATAATCAAAACTCTAAAAAACTATAATGATAAAAATATTTAAAAATATATTTTCAAACTACCATAAAATTTTAAAATTAAAAACATCATCATTATTAGCAGAAATCAGGTAGTTATTTTTTAAAATTGTAATTTTTTTATAATAGATAAAATTTATGAAGTGTACCTATAAAATTGCATATTTCCTCAAAATATATATATATATATATATATATATATATATATATATATATATTGTTGAATATAATACTATGAGGACTGCTGGTTACAGTCGCATACGACTGTAGAAGGACAATGGCACCTCTCATTGGTTGAAAAACCAATCATAAAAGGTATAATTAGTGCATCTTAACTTTAAAAACTAAAAATTTTGGACCAAATTAAAAACTAAAAGGTAATATATATATATGAAACAAATGAAAGAAGGAAAATGAAGATACCTTCTTTCATTTGTTTCATATATATTATCTTCAATCTTTATTTTATTTTTTTTAATAGTTCTTAACTGTTTAATATATATACACACACTATCGTGCATTCTTCTTCTGTTTTTAATTTCTTCATATTTTAAATAAATTTTGCATGAACGTGTGTCTCAGCAAAATATATATATATATATATATATATATATATATTAGGAAAAGACACGGGCGATACACGTGATGAATGTTTTATAACTTATTTTATTATTTGGTAATTATTTTATTAAAATATTACCTATTTTTTAGTCGTTTTAATAATGATTTGAAATCTTTTATTTTAATTCATTTTATTTATAGAAACACTTTTATTTTAATTCATTTTATACCAATTAATAAATATTTTTTATATTAATAATTCTTTTCTAATTAGATTTCCTTTTATTAAAAAAAGTCATAATAAAAGCTAATTTGTGATAGAGTTTTAGAAAAATTATTTAATTTTTTATATCAATTAATAAATATTTTTTTATATTAATAATTCTTATCTAATTAGATTTTATTTTATTAAAAACTCATAATAAATAAATAAATAGGTAAATTGTGTTAGAATTTTATAGAAACTCTTTTAAAAACTATTTTTATATCAATTAATAAATAAAAATAATTATATCAATAATTCTTGTCTAATTTGATTTTTTTTCTTAAAAAACTCATAATAAATAGATAAATATGTAATTTGTGTTAAAGTTTTATAGAAACTCTTTAACCATATCCTAGTCTAATGTGATAGAGTTTTATTGAAAATATTTTATATTCTTTAAAAATATCATTGCCTAATTAGATTTTTTTTATTAAAAACTCATAATAAAAGGTAATTTAAGTTAGAGTTTTAGAGAAATTATTTTATTTTATATCAATTAATAAATATTATTTTATATAAATAATTATTGGCTAATTAGAATTTCTTTTATTAAAAAACTCATAATAAATAGATAAATAGGTAATTTGTGTTAGAGTTTTATATAAACTCTTTTAAAAAATTATTATTATTTCTTAAAAATGTATCCTCATCTAATTATATTTTCTTTTATTAAAAAACTCATAAGAAATAGTTAAATACAGGCTATATGTAATAAAGTTTTAAAGAAAATAAAATAGGTAGTTTGTAGTAGAGTTTTATAGAAATTATTTTATTTTCTTTAAATATATTAATAATAAATAGGTTATAGGTGATAAAGTTTAAGAAAAATTATTTTATTTTTATATCAATTAATAAATATTTTTATATTAATAATTATTGTCTAATTAGATTTTTTTTGATTAAAAAACTCATAATAAATTGATAAATAGATAACTTATATTAGAGTTTTATAGAAAAAAATTTAAAATCTCTTTTTATATCAATTAATAAATATTTTTTATATTAATAATTCTCGTCTAATTATATTTCCTTTCATTAAAAAACTCGTAATAAATAAATAAATAGGTAATTTGAGTTAGAGTTTATTGAAACCCTTTAAATATATTATTGTCTAATGTGATACAGTTTTATTGAAAATAAAACAGGTAATTTGTGGTATAGTTATATAAAAATTATTTTATTTTCTTTAAATATATCCTTGTATAATTAGATTTTCTTTTATTAAAAAATACATAATAAAAGGTAATTTGTGGTAGAGTTTTAGAGATATTACTTAATTTTTTATATCAATTCATAAATATTTTTTATATTTATAATTCTTGTCTAATTAGATTTTCTTTTATTAAAAAATTCATAATAAATGAATAAATAGGGAATTTGTGTTACAGTTTTATAGAAACTCTGTTAAAAAATTATTTTATTTTATTTAAATATATCATGTTTAATTAGATTCCTTTTATTAAAAAAACTCATAATAAATAGATAAATACAAGTTACATGTAATAGAGTTTTAAATAAAATAAAATAGGTAATTTGAGGTAGACTTTTATAGAAATTATTTTATTTTATTTAAATATATTCATAATAAATATGTAAATACAGGTTATATGTGATAAACTTTTATAGAAAATAAAAAAGCCAATTTGTAGTAGATTTTTATACAAATTATTTTATTATTTTTAAATATGCTATTGTTTAATCCGATTTTATTTTATTTAAAAACTCATAATTAATAGATAATGTCATAAAGTTTTATAAAAAATAATTTGTGGTAAATTTTATTCAAATTTTTGCATTTTCTTTAAATATATTCTAGTCTAATTAGATTTTTTTATTAGAAAAACTCATAATAAATAGATAAATTGGTAAAATGTGTTAGAATTTTATAGAAACTCTTTTTGTAATGATCCGGTCATTTTCCTTCATTTCCTTTTTCAGTGATTTCTTTTTTTTCGTCATTTTCCCGTTTATCGTTTTTCCTTTTATAACCTCACTTTTTATGCTCGGATTGGATATCGGCTTTGCATGCATCCATAATATTTGACTTCCATGACATTTGTATTTTTACTTTTATAGAATTTACATTCCAGTTACTTACTTTTTGTAAAAGGGCATGGATGCATACTTTCTTGTAAAGATTCTTGATTTTTGAGATTTTAGTGTAATTATGTAAAATAATTATTTTTCGTTTTAGGGACCATCTTGCGATTTAATTTGGAAGATATTTTGAAAAATAACCTTTGTGCAATTTTTGAAAAAATATGACAAGTGTCACAATCTCATGAAGCCACTTGTTGGCATTGGGCTGGATAGACTTGGAAGCATGATCTTGTGACATGTGGAGGGTAGAGATTCACCCACTTGTGTGGCCTAGGATTGGTGCACTTGTTGGCTTAGATGGTGTAATACCCCTAATTTTAAAAGGATAGTCCCGGTATTTTAATACTTATTTTCTGGCATTTTTGTTGCATTTTTGGTTGTTTATTTGTTTAATAATTGTTTTCTGTCATTTATTTGTTTATGTGCCTTTGTATTTTAATTAACTGATTAATTGCTATTTACTTGTATTGTTTGATTTATTTACTTTAATGGTTTGATTAATTGGTTGGTTAAATGTAATTTTTTAATTAGAATTTTATTTTTTAATTAAATGGATTTAATTAGCTTACATTAGTGTTATTTATTGTAGTTTTAATTTAGGGTTTTATTTTTGAAGTTACGTTTTGAGTAGCCGACATAGGTTGTAAATTAAGTCGTTTTCTGCTCCTTCTCGGTTTCTAATTAGGATTAGGGTTATGTATACCTAAGCTTATAAATATAACAGTACGTGTATATAGGGTTGGAAAAACTCTATTCACATACCAGAGATTGTGAGAGAAACAGAGAGAGATTTTGTGAACAACAAAGCAAGTTCGGTGAGGATTTCGACTGTGGCTTAAAGGTTGGACTTAGGAGGAGGGACGGTAGAGTAGTAAGAGGTTGAGTTGACAGAAAACGGACGTCGTCAGAAAGCTTAGGAAGACGGCGACAAGGTTTTGATTCTAAAACTGCACAGGCAAGTTCTATTCTGTCTCTCCCTTTGGCCTGTGTTCTGTGCATCCCTGGATAGTCTCTAGGGTTTTAATTAAACGTAAATTGAATCTTGCATGCTTAGTTTGTGTTAAATTAATTCTTTGTAGGTGTTTTAATTTAATCTGTAACTATTCTTGTAAGTTGGAGTTCAAGGTTTGTGTTAAAGCATAATGAATCGGCAGCGGTTTTAATCATTGTAATTAATTCCAATTGTTGTAAACAAATCATTAGGATGCTACTGGGTATAAATAAGACTCTTAGGTTCAGTCTTAAAGAGAAACAGAAGAGTTGGAATGGCCAGAGACGAAGCAGATGATCAGAAACGAAGCGGAATTGGACTGGAGGCTCTCAGAGAGGGAGAGAGCCGACTCCATGGAAGTGGGAGCCGGCTCCCACCCCTTTAGAGCCAGCTCCAAGAGGCATGGAGCCGGCTCCATGCATTAGGGAGCCTGCTCCCAAGTTCATAGAGCAGGCTCTCTCATGTTTGTGCGTTCTGGACTTTTCTGACGGTACTGTTTGTTACTGTTTGGACGTTTGGATCGTTCCGATTAGTTTTGGGACTATACTGGGGGGTTTTAATAATTAATTTCAAGGGTTATTAAGGTCCCTAATTGCATAAATTACCCCATTATATTAATGGAATTAACAGTGTGAAATTTAACAACTTTGCATGCTGTTAATGGTTGGAAGGAAATTAATTGCCTAGTTTTTATTCAGCGATTTAACGATCTATGGCATGAATTTAAATATTGTTTTAGATGCATAGTAGGGTTATTTTATTAATAGATTTGACCTATGCATGCTTTGGATTTTAAATTGTTGAAATGTTAGTTCTTTTCTGCAATTACATGAATAAAGGATTAGATTTAATTGCTGAGATGTTTTACATTATTCTACAATTAACTGGATAATGGTTTTGAGCTGGATTATGGTTTTAGATTTTAATTGTTGAAATACTATACACTATTCTGCAATTAACTGGATTAT